AGTCAGGGAAAAAAAACGGCGGTTAATTCAAATTTGACTGACCATGAACTCGCGCCCCGATTGGAATCGTGTCAGCTGTGATAAATTTAAACAATGTAATATTTATTGATTCTTCGACATTTACTATGGTTACACAGATGATTCACGGTTAGTGCAAGAATAAAAAAGGGTTTGGTTTTTTAATTTAGCCAATCTGTATAGACTTTTATCTTCATAAGAAAAAAAGAGTTGGAAAAGTTAGTGCATGTCATGTGCCTAAGCTGGTTGACTGGTTTTTAGCTGGTTTAAGATGGAAGTAGCTGGTTTTAGCGGTCTCCCAGCCTGGCTAGGCTAGCTGGTTGTTCCAGCTGGTCTCCTGTCATTTTTTCATACTATCAACTTTTTTTATTATTAAAATCGTTTAATTCATCGTCGTGATGAACCATTTTTCCTATTGTCTGCGTTATTCTTGACAAAATAAAATAACATTTTGGTCAATAAAAAGGTTTAGAAGGTGCCATTTAGGACAGTACTTGTGTGAGTATTTAATGATGTTTAATTTGAGATGTTTCTAATCTCCACTGTTTTGCCGCCCTCTTTTGGTCAGTCTGGTGAACTATGCCTCTTTGCACAACAACGTCTACTGCAAGCCGCACTTCTGCCAGCTGTTTAAAGCCAAGGGCAACTATGATGAGGGTTTCGGCCACCGACCCCACAAAGAGCTTTGGGAGGTGCGAGGAGAAGGAGCCGAGGAGCAAGAGAAGCTGTCATCTCAAGAAACCACCTCCAGCCCAACCGTAGAGGAGTCTCTGGTAAAAGTTAATGTGCTTGCGGCCACTTTAGAGACCCGAACCCAGGACACCTCTCGGAGGGTGGAGAAGCCACTGGAGACAGGACGACTCAAGATCTCCTGGCCGCCGCAGTCCGAAGGGGACGAGACCGCAACCCATGTGTGTGGATCTACCGACGACATTGGCATCAAACCCATCCGCCCGAAATGGCCTCCAGAGGGCGACACGGTATCAAGCAACTCCGACCAATCTGATCTCCCAAAGATTCGCAGGAGTGTCTCACTCAAGGAGAGAAGCAAGCCGTTTTCCATCTTCAGCTCTGCGCCGGTCACTCAACCCAGCAAGAGATGCCAAAGATCTCCTTCAAATGAGAAGCCAAGCTCGGAGGAGGAAATGTCACCCGTTTCTTCCACCACTGACACGGTGATCTCTTCAGAGGACATGACCGAACACAACCAATCAGAAGAGGAGGAACAGGGTGAAACGGAAACCAAGGAGGAAGACGATGAAGAAAAGATGGAACAAGAGGAGAAAGTGGAAGCACAAGAAGAGGAACTTTCCTCTCTGCAGTGCAGCTCACCAGACAACAGTCCTTCATCGTCGCCCGAGAGCGAGTCTGGGTTGGATCCCGAGGAGAACCAGGCCTCACAAGATGTGGGCTTTTGGGATGGAGAAGAAGCTGAGGAAGAGAGAGCTGATGTCACCGTGGAGGACCTCATTAAGAGGAACCGTCATTATGACGATGAGGACGAGGAAGATGTGGTCTGAGTGATAGATTAGATGCCCATGGACTTTCATTTCCAGCACCAGCGTATTTTCGTTTGTGGGTCTCCGTCTGTCTTTTGTGCAATTTTTTCACGTTTTCAGCTTTTACATGTGCCTATAAATGTAAATGAACTAAAAACCAAGTAGTTGTCAGGTTATTCCGAAGGTTTCTCTAGTCTAGATGACACACTAGAGCTCTTACCGTCTCTTCAGGCCTAGTTTTATGAAATTTTAATTCATTCTGTACTTTTTCTAGGTTTTTTTATATACTAATAGGCTGGAATATTTTATTGTGCTGCAGAATACAATTAAAAAGAGAGATAAAAAAATTTTGCTATTGCTTTAAGAATTTAAATTTGATTATTAGGCCAATCTTAGTATGTTCAGTTCAAGCACCTGTTTTTTGTTTTTTATTTCACACAAGTGGTCTATCACTACTGTAATGCACTTGGATGTACTTTAAATGTTAAACACCCCGGCTGTACCACATATGATATAATTGGCAACCTTTGAATGTTTTATTTTATTACAAAATTGTATTTAACTATTTTAAATGTCCCTTTTTTTTTTTTTTTTTTAATCATGGGACCAAATATCTTGGAATACTTTTGTTTCAAATAAATTTACTGCTACAAAGTCTAGAGAGAGAATATTGTTTTTCTACAGAGATACTTTTAATAAATTTTTTTTACCCAGCTACGTGAGCAGGAACCAAACATATAACATAAATTACTATCTAAAGAGATTGATAAACAACAATCACTAAATGCAATTGTTTGGGTAAAGGATGTGATGTGCCAAGTATGATTGCGTAATAATTGGTCATTAATTTGGTTTCTTTTAATGCAACAACACTTTGAAATCTGCAGTTTTATAGTGAGACTAACCTATTCAAAAATAGTGTTTTCCAACTAGTCACAATGACAACTTGAATTTTTCTGTGTCCTGTTATCATAAGCCAGAGCAATCTCACTTGAACATAATAATAGACTATTTAAACATTATCTGTATGGAATATGGTAGCTGTATCTGTATTTTGAGCTTTGAAACGGACATTATCAGTGGGGAAAACCTAAAATAAATGGCTCTGGTCATGTAACACCAATTTTGCAAAAAAATTCATCAACTTTTTTTATACCCTTCAAACTACAAACCTAATTTCAGTCACTCATGTAACAGTCAGGATTCAAAGGGTTAATGTTTATTAAAAATAGAATGCCTGGAGGTCTAAAATTTATGAAAAGGAATTTCACTGCAATCCCAAGCACAGTTTGTGTGGAAATAATGTTTCTTTATTATGTACACATTAGCAAGAGTGCATGCTACAATTAGAGCAACACATCAACATCTGCAACGCAACTCCCCATTTAGTAAGACTGTGTGAAAGCAAAACGACCATCACCCATTTATGCGCCAAACAACCACATTTCTGTGGAGGAATTCAGATGATCTTGGAGAAGACAACTGCTTGGCTTTTTGCATAAGCTTAACTGATTGAGGTATTTGGGTTTGGCTTCCCGGTGCTGTCAATTTATGTCTGGAACACAAGCAATTCTTTGTTAAATTATCTGATCTGGAATATTCATTTCACCACTAAATGGAAAGGCTTTAGAAGATGGTGACAGTGACACCCATTCCTCTGACAATTTTTCTCATCAATTCTCATTTAATGTATTTTATGTAAAAAATAGTAGCAGAAAATGATAAACATGCAGGGCGTTATAAATCACTGAGGAACTTTCAAATGAAATCTAAGTTCATTATTCAATGATTGAGGTGCTTTGAAATCCAATGCATCCTGTCAAATATTACTATGGCTATATTCAGAATAGCATACTACTCTTACTATTCCTGCAGTATATTGTAGACTGTGCATAGCATTAACATTTATGCATAGAATACTCATAAAATAGCAAAATGTGCATACTGCACTGGGTACTGTGTCCCACAATGCATTGCACGAACTCACTTTATATGATCACACTGCCATTTTAAAACAAGTTAACATTCTAATCCAATTTTGTGCAAGAAAAATGCATACGACAATTGAATTCCTCTCACTGCATAAAAAATGTGGTGAGGTCATGTGACAACAATGTTATCTTTGCATTTTGTATGGAAGCTTGATTCTGCTAAAAAAGGTCATTGTGAATTTTTTCTTGTAGTTCTGAGGAAAAACAAAATACAGAATTGCGAGATATAAACTCAGAACACTGACTTTTTCTCTCAGTTCCAAATTTACATCTCACATTTTTTTCCCTCTCGAAATTCTGACTTTTTCACAAATTTTTTTTTTGTTGCTTTTGACAATTTAAAAGATAATTGTGAATTTTTCATCTCACAATTCTTACTTTGTCTCGTAATTCTAAAAAAGAGATTGTGAGATAAAAAGTCACAATTACAAGCTTCCTTAATTTCGCACTGTTTCTCATATTCTTTAAAAAAAAATTGTAGACATACAGTATACACTGTGCAGTATGCAAGTATCCTATTCCAAACATAACCAAATGTCTTGACATTCAACCAGTAAACTGTAGAATACAACTTCAGAAACTGAGGGACCTAAATGAGGGCAATATAGAGAAAAATGTAATATTAAACACTTTGTTTATAAGACATGTTGAAGGATAAACTATATTGAAAGGGATCAAATCAGACATTAAATTTGGCAATGTATGTAATATGAAACCATTTTGTTCCATATGTGATATGTAACAGAAGAGGAAGGGCATTATTGCAACAGCGAGGTGTGCAAAGTGGCATCTGTTGAGAAGTCTAGAGCGCAGCATCACAGCCGCTCGCCCATCAGACTATCAGCTTAAGTTGAGGCGTCTCTAAAGTGCTCGTGGCATTTGTGAACCAGACTAGCTCACATTACAGTGGACAATTCCTGAATAAACAGCTCCATGCTTTCTGACTTGACTCCAATGTGCCGTCTGCCCTGAAATATCTGATAAAACATCCATGGACTGATGTAAAAATCTACATTTACAGAAAAGCCTGAACTAAATAAACATAACTGGTTTAAGATGCATTCACTGACAAATAAACATGAAGTAGCCGATTCAGTGTGTTCTTTTCCGGTCTTGCTCTTTCTGGTCTGGAGATGCTGAATCGCGTTTCCTGATGACGGATGAGAGTGTATGATACACAACAGGAGACAATACAACTAGCCTCCGCTGACGTCACAATTAGCAATTACTTCATGCTATTTACCGGCAAAACACCTTCCCCTCAACCGTTCATTTTTCAGACAAAAACAATAGTGAAAAATGGCACTTGATTAAATATGATTCAAAATGAATCACAATAAGAAAAATAACCATAATATGCTTTCATCACCTTCACAAGTCCTTTGTGAGTGGGAGTGCTTGTGGAAAACTGTGAAGTTGTTTTTAACATTATTACACCTTTTATACTTATATATAATTTTATTAATAATTATCAGCATCCTCATGCCATATCTTTAACTTTCTTTAGGGTGTCCAGCTGTTTATTAATATTCATGATTGATTTCGCTAAATAAATGTTTGTATAGCAGCCAATACATAAATTTACATATGTACATGTACATTAAAAATATATAATTAAATATTTTCTACGCATTTGCAATAAAATGTATCAGTATTATTTCGGTCACCAGTTAAACCGTTCTTTTGAGGCCCAATATTACTCATTTCATGCCACAAACCCCTCTGAGGCGCTGCCGAGGTGAACGCTGTAGACGAAACATGCATTGGAGTGAATGTGTTAGACGTGCTAAACTTGCATTTTGAAGTGCCTTGAAACGTAAGAAAGAGAACAGAAATCTCAGCATAATTTTTTTTGGTCTTTTCCATCCGTTTGTGGCTGACGGTGGGATTGGAGACGTGGAGTTCCTCGTTTATTATCCGCTGAGGGGATGGAGGTCCACCTTCACCTTTTCTCTGCTGCTGAGCATCCCGATAGTGGGGTAAAACCCTCCGGCTGGGACAACTACTTCCCTCCTGCCGATAATCTTGCCGTTCCGGGTGAAGAACACCTAGACGAGCACAGAGGGGCGACAGTGAGTCAGCATTTCCACAGCTGGAGAGGGAAGAGAGTGAGTCAGCATTTCCATTGCTACAGGGCTGAGACAGGGCGTCTGACAGTCCTGCTACACGCTAGTGTAAGAAAACTCCTGATACTTCGGGACACATGATGAGGACAAGAAAACACTTGGCAAACAGCTGTTTTTTGAGCACAGAGGGTATTCGGTGTTCTTTTATATCTAATAAGCCTTTCCAGGTGACTGACTGAAATATTTGCAAGCAAATTCATCTTAATCGCATCCTGGATATCCTGTACCCTCAAAAGACGGCTCTTATGAGAAAGTTTGACAGCGAGCTTTTTCGTATTGTTGCATAAGTGTGGAAACTCTCACCCAGTGGGCAAAACGTAACAGCACTGTGGTTAAGCCATCGTGTCAAGTCAACAGTCAGAAACTCGCTGATTACAGAGTCGCACAGTGCACATTTGGCATGGAGTGCTCTTGATAGTGTAATGTCCTGCTGGGAGACCTTAATGCATTAATCTTCTGCAAGGTTAAAACATTTGACTTGATGAATGAGTGTTAGAACAAATCCAACCGGCTTTAAAAACAACTTGCAACAAAAATAATGATGATTCATTTGCTTAGCTGTCAAAACTGAGGCTTTGAGCTCTTCGGTAATAAGTAACAATTTATTTTGTGGCTTAAAAAAAGTAATTAAGTTAGAAGGCAAGAGACATTATTACATTTTCAAATAACGGTTTCTATTTTAATACATTTGCAAACGTAATTTAATCCTGTTACGTTATGTTAAAGGAACACTCCACTATTTTTGAAAATAGGCTCGTTTTCCAACTCCACTCTTTGATCATTTTTGAGCGAGATGCTAACGGTCTAATCAGATTCAATGATCTATGCTAAGCTACAGCTAAAAGTGCTACCGCCAGACCCGGAGATCGGCTGAATGGATTTGAAAATGGTAAAACTCAACTGTTTAACTCTAGGGGAGTTAGAAAATGAGCCTATTTTCAAAAATAGTGGAGTGCTCCTTTAAAGCTATATCAGCCATTACTATAAGCAACATTTTTTTATATAACAAAAACATTACAAAAATACTCACCATAACCTTACGGCCCTCATGTTCTTGTTCTGGATCATCTCCCTCTTCCTCATCTTCATCATTCAAATACAGCAAGTTTTCAACACGCCCCTGCTTTGGTCGTACATCAGCAGCATCCCAGTCGTCCATTTCATCTGACAGAGAAACCAATTGAGCTGGATGCACATCTAAAAAACTTGTACTACAGCATGCTAAATTGATCAAAGTATGCATTTTCAAGCATGTATTGGCAGTAATATGAGCAAAATGGAAAACTTCTTCTCATCTCCTTTAATGAGCACCACATGCGTGTTCTTGCCTTCATAGTCCAGCACGTAGTCCCGAGGAAACATAATTCCACAGCCCATGATGTCCCCTTCAAAACAGCGAGGGCCAAACTGGTCTCCTACTCCACTTCCATGGAAGATCTTCCCATCATCTATGAGCAGAGAAGACATGCATTTCAAATGTGGCAACTTTCATTCATAAACCATGATTTTACTTCAAAATGTACATGGCATGCAATGGTGAACTCTACATACCCTGGCCATTAATACTCTGAAGAATTGAAGAACAACTCTAAAGTCATTCAGAAGAAACTGGACAATATATTTACATTATAGTGTGTATATTTACACTACCGTTCAAGAGTTTGGAGTTGGTACATTTTTTAAAGAAATAAATTCAGCAAGGATGCATTACATTGATCAAAAGAAAACATTAAAAAAGATTTCGATTTCAAATTAATGCTGCTCTTTTGATCTTTCCATTCATCAAAGTCCTGGAAAATGTAGGTTTCTAAAAAAATATGAAGCAGCACAACTCTTCAACATTAGTAAGAAATGTTTCTTGAGCAGCAAATCAGCATATTAGAATGATTTCTGAAGGATCATGTGACACTGAAGACTGGAGTAATGATGCTGAAAATTCAGCTTTGCATCACAGGAGTAAATAATGTGTTAAAATAAAATAGAAAACAGTTATTTTAAATTGTACTATTTCACAATGTTACTGTTTTAGCTGTATTTTTACTACCTTGTTGAGCATAAGAGACTCCTTTCAAAAACCTTAGAAAATAAAAAATCTTAAAAACCCCAAACTTTTGAACGGTAGTGTACCATGTGTAAAATACAGTTATAGTTATCATATTTGGAAAATGCTCCGTAACTCTGTTTGTATTTCACGTTAAAGTGAAATACAAATTAATGAAACAAAAGACATGGCTCCAACAAAATCACCAAAAGCACCATAGTGTTACCACATACCACAAGTCACAGAGTCTGACCAAACTGATGCCTTTTAAACATTTTTACATGGCTTCAAATACACATAAAAACTACTATAGTACAAAAAAGGCACATTTTGTGCAGCTTTTATTTAGTATTCACCTTTTTGGACCATTAAATCAGCAAATCCTTGATATACACAGCTATCATTATGGTCACACGTATGGAGGTGCCCTATTAATTTAAGTGCTACCTCCACCTGAAATGTCATCTGCTGGTGTCGCTGTGGGACAGTATTACCGTAGAAAAATGAGTGATTTACACAGTTTGACTTCATATTTCGTAATATTGGTTTCTGTATCTCATCTGATTATCTTTTTTAAAGCCTCCCTCGAGGCTGACCCATTTATAGTCAATGATGGAGGTAAACACTCATCATCTGAATGAATTTAAGGACATAAAGCAGAAATGCTAAAGTTAGTGCTTTGCATCAGAGCGCTGTCAAGACCTGACGTGAACCTAAGCACTAAAGCTGCATTCCTCACACATTTGCTCTTAATGATCCAGAGAAGTCTTATACCCTTCATCCAGAAACTGACAGGATGAAAGGAGATGCGCTTTCATGCCTCCGTACGTTTCTTTTGCCTAAGTTGAAGTTCTCCTTATACAAGAAGATAACAAAACAAAGAGACAACAACAATCAAGAGCAAGTGAAAGAAAAACACGGAAAGGTAGCCTGCAGACAAAAAACCCTCTTGCAGTGTGTGGCTGGTAAATATTTATGGAGTTGTCATGGGACCCGTTCCCAGCTCAGGATACTCTTTAAACAATCCCTATCTGAACATGCGGAGGGAGATGAAGACACTGTATCATTATGATTCCCATGTGGGCCTCTGTCCCAACACCACACACTGCAAACACCACGACCGCTGTGGGAGGGGAAGGCAACTAAAAATAGATGTGGGGGTCTCGGCTGCACGCTCTCACTGAGCCTGCTGAAGAGCTTTCAGGCCCTCTGGCACCCGAGCCGACAGGAAACGGTACAACGGAGTGCAGAGAGGGCTTTCCTCGAATATCAGAGCTGTTCTCTGGAAAAGACCAGGAACGTAGACTCGCTTCCGCAAACAAGAAGGCTGCTTTATAAGCCTCCACAAAGCACTATTTTTTCTAAGAATGGAAAAAATATTTGCTTGTTCATGTCATAAACATTTTCAGCTAACCTAAACGGGAAAGGTCACGTACCCCCCACTAAATGGAACAGAACAAGACTGAAAATAGTGATTTGGGGTAAAGCGACTTTCTGCCAACTATTTCGACCCACTTGGCACAGCCAGTGGATGAATTAAAACAGGAATGGGGATTGTATACGTATTCCAAACTCCAAATAAATTCATCACCCCGACTTCCAACCTTATTTCTCGATTAAAATGAGATACAAATAGCCCTGTTGTCCTTGGCTATGATGCATGTGAGGACGCCGACCCCCAGAGTGACATATCAGTGGCCATAACGTGATGACTAACAGGATTATGAGTCATAGAAGTGGGCCTCTTATAGATCAGGGCAGGACAATGAGTCATGCCTCCCTAATCTGACCCGCTTCTGTGGCAATGCCAGACCTCCATCAGCGGGTGCCGCAATGAGGCGCAGAAAAGACATGCCCCATAAACGCAGCTCTGTAAAAGCGGACAAGAGAGCCTGACACTCCTCAAGGTGCCAAAGACAAACTACATCACCCTGATGAGAGTGATATGATGGAATTTTTCACACTTGAGAAGAACACATGGCCTGGGTGAATTCACAAGCAAATAAACAAACTTCCATTACTTCTAGAGATACACCGGTATGAAAATTTGGTTCGATACAGTAATTAGTCACGTTATGGCCAATAACCTTTAAATGGTCAATTTTATTATTGTCAAAAAAAAAAAAACATGTATATGTACTGCTTTTATATTTATATATTAATTAGTCACGTTATGGCCAATAACCTTTAAATGGTCAATTTTATTATTGTCAAAAAAAAAAAAAACATGTATATGTACTGCTTTTATATTTATATATTTTAAAACATCAAATACAAATATTTTAAAATAAATGTACATAGAAATGTTATTCATATATTTTATAGTACCTGTAAAAAACATTAAAAATCGTTCTGATCCCAAACTTTTGACCGGTAGTGTGTGCGTGTATATGTATATATATATTTTTTTATTCATTAAAGAATACACATACACATATTTCTACAAATAATAATTTTCAAATAATGAAAATTCATTTTAAATGTAAATTTAGGCATCATGACAATGTACACTATGAAAAATGTACATTTATTTTTTAATTATATATATATATATATACAGTGGGTACGGAAAGTATTCAGACCCCCTTAAAT